GTTCCAGGGTAGGGCTGACTGAGGTATTGGAGCCTGTAGCTGAGAAGCCCTCTGCTCACATTTCTGCAGGTCATCTCTGCCCTGGCCCTTCTGCTGCCTGGCGCCCACATGCCCACTGCTGCCCAGAAGCAGGTTTCCAAGTAGCGCCTGTAAACGGCACTGTCAGGCTTGTACAACACAGTAGCCCCAGAACATGGGGCTGCTGGCTAGGGAGTCTGGCCATGTGGGTTGTAGTGGGCTGATAACTATGGAGAAGACCCCAGGGCTTGGTAGGCAGGTAGTTGGGCACAGGGGGCTGCATGCCTCTAGTTACCTAACATCTATTGTCGCTCCTTCCAGCACAGAGGCAAGACAGGTTGGTGGGAACTTCTCCCAGGAGCTGCTCAGCTCCTTCCAGAGCTGCCCAGCACCCAAGACTAACCTAAGTCTTTCTGACCTAGTCTAGGTTTTTGGGTCACACCTGGGTGCATGTACACTCCTCCCTGCACATTCCCCCAGCTCCCTTCTCTCTCACACCACACATACTCACTCTTTTGCACTTGCATGCACATGGCAAAGCTCTGAGTACCGGCCCCTCACTGAGGGTCGTTGTCAAAGGGCTATCTGGGAATAAGCGAGACCTGCTGGTGAGGGGACCCTTGGAGCTGAGCCACCACTCAGCTGTAGTTTTCTGGGAACAGAGTCCCTCCTTGCATGTGGCAGAGCAGAGGTTTGAGTTTGGTGGTATTGGCACTGAGACACCAGACGCGGACGGGGAGGGCAGGCCTTTTGGCTGAGGTGGCTCTAAGCCCATCCCGAAGGCCTTATCTGTGTCCGGTGGGAGCTGGAGCCCAAGCTGGTCACAGCGGGGCATTTGATCTCTAAGGAGCTCCATCAGAGCAGCACCTGAAGGTAGGAACCTGCCTCCCCTCCTCAGCAGATTGCTGACCTACCTGGAAGGGCAGTGCCTCTCCCACCCCCACTGTTCTTCTAGCCCCCTCCCCACCCACCCCCCTTTTAAAATTAACATGTAATGTATTATTTGCCCCAGGGGTACAGGTCTGTGATTCATCAGGCTTACACAATTCACAACACTTACCATACCATATACCCCACCCCAATGTCCATAACCCAATCACCCCATCCATACCCCCTAACCCCCCCTCCCCCAGCAAACCTCAGTTCGTTTCATGAGATTAGGAGTCTCTTATGGTTTGTCTCCTTCCTGATCCCATCTACCTACCGGTAGGCAGTTTCATTTTTTCCCTCCTTATCCCCAGGACCCCCTGCCCTGCCTCTCAAATACCTCATATTAGAGAGATCATATGATAATTGTCTTTCTCTGATTGACTTATCTTGATTAGCATAATACCCTCTAGTTCCATCCATGTCATTGCAAATGGCAAGATTTTACTTCTTTTGATGGCTGCATAGTATTCCATTGTATATATATACCACATCATCTTTATCCATTCAACTGTAGATGGACATCTAGGTTCTTTCCATAGTTTTGTTATTGTGGACATTGCTGCTATCAACATTGGGGTGCACATGCCCCTTTGGATCACTACATTTGTATCTTTAGGGTAAATACCCAGTAGTGTGACTGCTAAGTAGCTCTATTTTCAACTTTTTGAGGAACCTCCATATTCTTTTCCAGAGTGGCTGCATCAGCCTGCATTCACACCAACAGTGTAGGAGGGTTCCCCTTTTTCTGCATCCTCGCCAACACATGTCATTTCCTGACTTGTTAATTTTAGCCATTCTGACTGGTGTGAGGTGGTATCTCATTGTGGTTTTGATTTGTATTTCCCTGATATCGAGTGATGTGGAGCACTTTTTCATGTCTGTTGGCCATCCGGATGTCTTCTTTGCAGAAATGTTTGTTCATGTCTTTTGTCCATTTCTTGATTGGATTATTTGTTGTCTGGGTGTTGAGTTTGATGAGTTCTTTATAAATTTTGGATACTAACCCTTTATCTGATACGTCATTTGCAAATATCTTCTTCCATTCTGTCAGTTGTCTTTTGGTTTTGTTGACTATTTCCTTTGCTGGAGAATTACAGACCAATATTCCCCACCCCATTTTAAAGTCTTTTATTTTGAAATAATTTTTAGACTCACAGAAGAGTTGCAGAGATACTAATTTCTCTATACTGTTCATCTTGCTTTCCCTAACGTTTAAAATCTTGCATAACCATGGCGCTTGTCCCCCTTTATGCCCTGCTTGCTGGTGGAGGTCACTTGCCAGGAAGGCCTGGGTATGAACACGTGTGCTGGAGTCCTCTCTGCCACAGCGGGGCTTCCGCTGGGAAGGCAGTACTACTGGGACTGCTTCTGGGCACATGAGTCCCCAGGCCTCAGGCAGAGTGGGCTGCCTTCCAGCTGGCCAGTCAGCCAGGAGCGTGTAGGAGCTTGTGGACAGAATGACCTAGTGGGTGGGAGAGTAGGTGAGGAGCAGTGAGGACCCCAGTGATGGGTGTGCTGGGGAAGAGGAGGCCATGTTGCTCAGTGCAGCAGGTACCCTCTGGAGGTGTAGGACCCCAGATCCTACTGGTAGGCAGGCATCTAGGAACATAAAGTTGTATGCCATTCCACAACCCCATGGTGGGCCTATGAGGCCTTCCTCAAGAGCCTTCTCCTGGGCCAGTCACCTCTGCTTGGGGTGACACAAAAGCAAGGAAAACATACATCACTCCTACCTCCAGACCTACCCTTCCCATACCCTCTCTTCCACCCCCTACTTTTTCAGTAGTCTGGGTAGAGGTTTCTGTTGTCACCTAATGGAAAGAAAAAAGCCCTTAGGGCTCAGAAGATTTGGTACTGCAGGAAATAAGTGACAGGGTTTCTAAGGTATGCAGAGAACTGACACCCCCCTACCGCGGAAATGAGTCTGACACAGCCTTTTGATTTGAAGTCTCCCATCCTGTAGCCAGATGGACTATTTCTAATCCTCCCCCACCAATCCCATAAGCACCGAGAGCAATGAGCTTCGAGTCCCCATTGCCCCAGGTTTCAGAGCCTGTCACGTGAAATAAGTCTTAGCAAGGGCAGCAAGGAGAAAGGTGTTAAAGGAAGTTCTCCTGATGAAGCTGCCAATGGTTCCATGGTAAAATGGGAGGGAGGCACAGGGAGGAGAAGCAGTGTGGTATGGGTATCCTGATGCCTATACCACACGGTTGTGAAGACTGAGTGGTATTATGTATTGGCTTTTGGCACTGGTTCTGGCACATTTGTGATCTCAACAAATGGTAGCTTAAGAGAGGCTGCGGGACCTTTCACGTAGCAACCAGGTGGGGTCTCAGACCTAGATGAAGCAGGCAGTTTCTATAGAGCAGGCAGGGGCGAGGGCCCTTCGGTCCCAGGGCAGCAGCGCCGGCCTTCTGGCAAGTAGAATACGGTAAGGAATGATTCTTGGGTGTGTGCATTCTGTTGTTTTCTTCCTCTCCCTGTCTGAAGCTGCCCACAGCAGGATGAAGGAAGGCTGGGGGCTTGGGTAGGTCTTTTGGCAGAAAGCAGCTGAAAGCCCTTCAGTAGGGCTTTCCTGCTGAGGTGGCCCCAGGGCTTTGGACTGTGCCTGCCTTTAATGGGTGGGGTGAGGGCTGCCTGGTGAGAGAACGGTCCTAGAGCACTTTCAGTCCTGTGGTCTTCCCAATGCCTCTTTTATCCCAGTTGGCCCTGGGCAAGTCTAGCTTGCCAAAGGCCTGAGTTCAGACCCTAAGCCTGCCTCTGGCTGGTTACGTATGCTTGAACAAGAGACTCAACTTCTTGAAGCTTTACATTTCTTACCTGTGAAATGAGTATGATGGTAGTATCTATGTTCAGGTGCTGCTGTTAGCAGACTAAATCAGGTAACCTTATCAGGCTTCAGAATAAATGTCTTCTCTTTCACTAGGATTCCCTGGGACTGGGTCTTGTCTCCCAGACCTTAGAACAGTTTTGCTTGTGTTGCTGAGTGGCGCCAGATGAAAGCAGCCGAGTCGAAAGCCGCGCCGCAGGAACAGGGAGGGGAGGTCCGTGGAGGGCTGACACTGTGGGACGACTTGGAAAAGCTCACTGCTAACCCAGAGTATTCTAGCTACTATACCAGGCTTCAGAGAGAAAAGTTGCCAAGAGAGGAGATATAAAAATAGATACACAAAAATAGAACTGAAAGAAAACTGCCGTAGGACCGATTTAATTTATAAGATTCATGTATTCATTAACTTTGAAAAACTTTAAAATCCTTACTGCTTATAAATGAGTTTAGCAGTGGTGGTGGCTTTCAGATTTTCTTAAAAGGGGCCACAGATCCTCTGAGACAGAGGTTGACCATCAGCCATTTCAAGTATGTGCTTACCGGAAGGAAGGCTGATGACGGCCACAAGTCAACTGACTAGCAAAGGGAGGTTGGGGTCCTTCTTGACCTGTGGATTTGTGTAGCACTCAAATTCCTTAATAGAGCACTTAGCCCTGACAGGGCTTAGATTTCCACCTCCATTCTGAGAAAAAGCCAGGGCGCCAGGCTCTAGCCATCCCCCTCACTTGACCAGTGACCTGCCGTGTGTGTGCAGAAGTTAAGAGGTTGGGGACACTGTGATAGTGTGCACTGCTCAAGTTTGACTAACCAGAATTCTTGGTTATTCTCTTAGGGCCTGTAGTTCCTTTTTAGGCGGCTTTGGAGGGTTGGTGTGGGGGGTAAGCTGGCCTAACTGTATCTGAGGAAATACCAGTAAGGTGCAGGGCTCACCAACTTTGGCAGGCAAGAAGTGTCCATCACTATCTCTTTGGCTGCCTTAGTGTGAGGCCATCTTGTTGGTTCCCTAGTTACCTGTCCCTGTGGGGGTAAAAGTCCTTAGGAGGAGGAGGAGCGAAAGTAGCTGAGGAGCTAAGCCAGCTTCCTCCAACACAGTGAAAGGCTGCACCCAGTCTGCCCAGTAGCTCTCACTGCTGCAGCCCACCCATGGTCTGGGAAGCACTAGCTCTGTAGGCCTGGGCTTTGTGCCAGTTCATTCTCATCCTCTCTCTCCTTCTCTCTCCAGTGTATGTGGTGGAAGACCAAAGAAGGGATGACCTGGGCCCATCCACCTGCCTCACAGCCTGCTGGACTGCACTCTGTTGCTGCTGTCTCTGGGACATGCTCACCTGACCAGCCCGGCCTTCCTGTCCTGCCAGTTCTGCCACCACCTTCAGCAGGTGTGCCTGCCCCATCTCTTCTGATTGCTGAAATAAATGAAAATGACTAGCTCTGCACAGACACTTCTACCTTCAACACAGTGGGATTCTAGATTAGCAGGGTTTGCACTGCTGTTTAATTCAGTGACTATCTTTTTAATGTTTAAAATCCATTTCTTATTGGCCTTTCACAAATGTGCTAAATGACTTTTATTTTTTTGGCCAAAGGCTTAGTTATAAAATATATATTTATAATTTTAAAATTATACATTCAAGGTAGTGACATGATGTAATACCACTGAATGATTTCTCTGCTAACACCCTGTATGTTTCAATAAATTTGTCTAAACCTCAACTGCCTGAATAATTCCAGAGAGAACAGAAGCCCTGGAGCCACTGTCCACTATGACGAGGAGGGGGTCTATTTATGCTTTCATTCCACTGCAGGTGGGTGCTATGAGGAAGGCAGGTTCCACGGGGCCCTCACCAGACTAGCATTTTCTCTCTCATCCCACTCAGAGCCAGGCTCACCAAGCTACCCAGAGCTAGGCCTTCTTTTCTGCTGCCCGCCCTCCCGCCCCCAGCCTTCATCCACACACACAGGAGAGAGAAAGGCTGTCACAGTACAAGCCAGACAGCCCATCTCAGCTCTGGCCGCAGGGGGGCGCTGAGCCACCGTAACAGAGTCCGATTTCTCCCAGCCGGAGAGGCTGGCGGACAGCTCTCTTCCTGCCCACTTTCACTCTGAAGTGCTGATGTGCTCAGCAATTCACTACCAGTTTTCTTTAAAACAAAACCTTATTTTATCCATCACCTGATTCTGTGGAGTAAATGGTCCCACAAGAGCTGATTTCAAGCTACCAACATGATGTCCTGAACACAGAGTTGGGGAAAAAAAGTGCAGGAGTGCACCATTATGTAGTACACTTCCATCCAGATACAACAGACCGTCAACATCAAAAACATAGATAATGGCCAGATTTAGTAATTAGGAAGGGATAAGTTCTGCATATTTATTATTTTAAATATAATTTAATTGTATATTTACCTAACTTAATTTTTAATGACAGTTGTGTTTCACAACTGGCTTAAAACAAAATTCTAACACTTGTTTTAATAATTGGCTCTCACCAGCCCGTACAAGCCAGCTCCTGCACACCACTGCCCCAAGCCTCTAGGAGCCTTAGGATTGCAGTGTCCACCTCTCTGACACTGGCCAAAGGGTTAGACAGCCACAGAGGTGCTGCTGGTTTATTACTGCATTTTCTTCAGGAACATTTGTGAGGAAGCAGGAGGGAATCTTTAGGCACACTGCCACCAAAGTTACTTAGATTCAGCTATGCCCTGGTCTCCTTCCTTCCTAATCTTCATGGAGGCTCAGAAGGTGAGGGATTTATTTACTCAAAGGAACAGAAAGGGAAAAAAGAACAGGAAAGGCTCCAATAAAGAAGGAACAGGGCCAAAGCTCTGGAAGAAGACAGGACAGGAAGGAGCTGAGGTTGAAAGCTTCTGCTTCTCGGGTCCTTGGTTTTCATCCTTCAGCTTGAGAAAGGCAGACTTACTAGAGTGGCTGGGGGAACAGATGCCTTTTATTGGTCTAAGCAGCGTAATGAGTAATAGGCTTGGGTAGAGCTCCCCCGTCTGTCCTGGCTCCCATCTTCCCTCTCCTGGGAGTTGGTGATTCACCCCTAAGGGAGAAGAGTGTTCTGGGTAGGGGTGGCAGACAGAGCCAGGATAAAAAATACAGAGTTGGGATCTGAAAGGGGATCAGGGTGAAGTAGAAAATACAGGGTTACCAGATCATCCAAATAAAAAGTCCATCAGGGTAGAAGAGAGGCTGTTTCCCCACATGAGCCCCTCTGCCCTTGACAGGAATGGGAGGGGGCAGGAAGCTTCTGCTAGAGATTTCCTACTGTGCCCTTCGTGCCATCAGCATCTCCCGGATGTTGTCCTCCGCTTCCTTCACACTCCGCTCCAGGTAGGACTTCTTCTGCTGCAGTATGAGAAAAAAATCAAGAGTTAGGAGGTATGGGACGGTTTGGCAAATGCAGCATTTACAGTCAATGGTAATGGCTTCTCAATGTCCACCTCTCTGACACTGGCCAAAGGGTTAGACAGCCATGGAGGTGCTGCTGGTTTAGTGACTTCCAATAGTGTATTGTCTCTTGGGGGCCAGGTACACACACACCTGCCCAGAGTGCTCCTCTCATCCCGCCCAGAGTGCTCCTCTCATCCCACCCACAGGCCTGAGTGGGGAGGAAGAGGTTATTCGGTGCAGGAAGCAGAAGTGCTCTGTGGAAGGCAGCTGTGCTCTTCCCCCAGGAGGAAGTGGACTCAAAACAGGCGTCTCAGTACATGAAGTTATACCAGACAGACAAAGGCCAGGAAATTCCAGGACAAAGCTCTGGCCCCCTAACAGTCAGTCTCTCAAGGTTTTCCATGGCCTGGGCCAGGCGCCTATAGCCACCACTGCTGCGGAATGGACAGGGTACCAGAGGGTTCTGCTCTGTCCAGTGAGAGGACAGGCTGCATGAGTGCTAAGAAGTTGTAACATGTCTCACCGAGGCAGATGAGTCAGGCTGAAATCTGCTTTTCTAATGAAACCGCTGCCTGCCAGGAATCCAGGACAGTGACACACTGAGTAAAACAGACCTTTTGGAAGTTTACCTCCTACCCCATCTGGGTCCTAAATTAAAAATCTCAACTTAGACAAAGAACTTTAACTACTTTCAGGAGCCACATCTGGGCCAGGATTACAAAAGATTAGTCAAAGGAAATGATGTCTGTATTTTCCCTGTGGTCACCCAAAAAGTATGGTGGCTTCACCACTGGTCCCTGCCCTGAGGACAGAGTTGTGGCTGCATTCCCACTGAAGAGACATGAAATGAGGCTCCCTTTTTGAGGAATACTCAATAGTCCCCTTTCTACGGGTCCATGTGGCTGGGCCACACTGTGGCCAGGCAGCCACGCAAAGCCTAGAGCGCTGGGCAACCCACGAGGAACCAGTGCCCTTCTCACTCACCCTGACCTAGCAGCTGTGGATTCACTGTGACCACGAAAGTGCCCAGATGACCTGGGAGAACCAGGGCAATACTGGGCCAGAGAACAGGTGAGCAGTCTGGCCTGACAGGCTCTCCTTGGGAACTGATCCCCAATCAAACCACTGAGGCAAGAATATTGAAATGAAGGCCTCAAGGTCTCTGGTATTCTACAGATCCCTGTGGCTAACTTCTTAGAACAACACTCTGCCCAGATTTTTTTTTTCCTTCAAGATTTTATTTGACACAGAGAGAGAGAGAGAGAGAATATGAGCTGAGGGGAGATGGAAACGCAGACTCCCTGCTGAGCAGGGAGCCCAAGATTAAGACCTGGGCTGAAGGCAGACACTTTAACCCTCTGAGCCACCCAGGCGCTCCCAGATATTTATTAAATGATAATTTTAGAGATGTTTTCCTGTTGACACCAATGCTGTGCCATCTTTATCAGCTCTTGTGTGAACTTCTGATTCCTGTTGGTTGTCTCCTAACTTCAAATTTCCTGATACCTCTTTACTCATCTCCCATCTGTCCAACTTGCACATAATTCCCGTCCAACCTGTAAACAACAGGAGCCCCATAAAAACTCACAGTGGCTGCAAATGTACACTGTTGCTAAGGAATTTATTACATTGCTACACCTGATACAGGCCTATCATTGTGCTATCAGAATGGTAATTTAAACTTCCTTTGATAAACAACCCCTAGACTTTACATGTGGTTAACTTAAAGAGGGAAATACTAGTAACTCCTGACACACCACTGAAGAATGTCCATATACTGGGTGTTGCACAGGAGGGGAGCAGCAGCTAAACAAGTGGCATGTACCATCTGAGCACCTTCCCAGCCCCCTGGGAATGGGAGGAAGAGGCCAGTGGGGCAAGCAGGGCTGTGCTCCCATGCGGTCAGCGGGTGCTCAGGACCCAGGTCCTTTGCATTCCATTTCTACCTACTGCACATGCCTCTAGACAGTCAAATTCGGGTTATAATTCTTATTTTAAAATTCGTCATTCAGGGCGCCTGGGTGGCTCAGTGGGTTAAGCCGCTGCCTTCGGCTCGGGTCATGATCTCAGGGTCCTGGGATCGAGCCCCACATCGGGCTCTCTGCTCAGCGGGGAGCCTGCTTCCCTCTCTCTCTGCCTGCCTCTCTGTCTACTTGTGATCTCTCTCTGTCAAATAAATAAATAAAATCTTAAAATAAAATAAAATAAAATTCGCCATTCTGGGGCGCCTGGGTGGCTCAGTGGGTTAAGCCGCTGCCTTCGGCTCAGGTCATGATCTCAGGGTCCTGGGATTGAGTCCCGCATCGGGCTCTCTGCTCGGCAGGGAGCCTGCTTCTCTCTCTCTCTCCCTGCCTCTCTGTCTACTTGTGATCTCTCTCTGTCAAATCAATAAATAAAATCTTTAAAAAAAAAATTTGTCATTCTGTGTCTCTTCTATCTTCCAGTTTCAGTTTTCTGGTTTTTTTTTTTTTTCCATGATTTTTAACCACTGCATAACCTAGAGTCTTCAAGCTTGAAAAAATAATGCAAAATAATCCTATCTTTAAATCTTTAATTACCTAATGTAAATTTATTGCACATTCAAATTTTCATTTCATCGTAACAGCTGGGTCATCCCTAGCACAGAGGGACCTGTTTTCTAACTTTTTCAACTGTTTCTGCCTTCATCCTCAAACATACCTAAGTCGAAAATATCTTCGTAATCAAACCTGAATCAATATTCGTGATGTGCGTTAAACTGTCTCACAAAAAGATATTGTCCTAACCCCCTCCTACCTGTGAATGTGGCCTTATTTGGAAATAGGGTCTTTGCAGAGGTAACCAAGTTAAAATGAGGTCATGCTGAGTTAGGGAGGGCCTTAAATCTAATGATTAGTGTCCTCATAAGGCCACATGAAGACAAAGGGACACAGAGACAGAATGCCATCCCTTGATGGGAGGAAGAAAGGGAACGATGCATCTACAAGCAAATGAACACCAAGAATGGTCAGCAACCATCAGAAGCCAGGAAGAGGAAACTGAAGGATTTTTTTGCCCCAGAGGCTTCAGAGGTAGCGTGGCCCCATGACACTTTGATTTTGGACTTCTAGCTTCCACAACTTATGAGAGGAGAATTTTCTGTTGTTTAAAACCAACTGGTTTGTAGTAATTTGTTATGCAAGCCTAGGAAACCATGAAATGAGGGATGTCCCAGAGACAGAATCTACCCCCAATTTCTTCTGTAGCCACAGCTTCTGACCACACTGAATCATAGAGGTCTGGCTAAGGATATCTATTAAGTTAGTACACTGGGACCTGTACTTCTCCCGAGAAAACTGTGCTAGAAGTGATCCAAATACAAACAAGATTGTCAAGATGTAGAAAATTAAGGAAGTGATGATTAAATCAAATTTTTTTCTTCTATTTCCACACGTTCTTCCTAAAACTACTAGTCAAATCAGAAATTCTGTAGACCCGTCTTCCCCATTTCTGTAAATGACAACTCCATTCTTGCAAATGCTCAAAACCTTTGGTGTCATCTTTGAATCATTCTTCTTTCACATCTGATATCCAATCAACCAACAAATCCTATGAGCACTACCTCAAAAGGTATCCAGAATCTGACCTTAATGTATAGCCTCCTAAGTGGTCTCCTATCTTCTTCCCTTGATCCCCGTTAGTTTCTTCTCCAGGCAGTGCTCAGAGTTCTCTGTGAACACTTAAAACCCTCCAGTGGCTTCCAGTTTCAAAAGGAAAGGCAAAAAGTCTTTTTGCAAAGCCATGTTTAGTCTCGTTCTCAGCGGACTCTGACCTCAACTCCCTCTCAACCACTTAGCTCTGGCCACACTGGCTTGCACCTCCAACTCTGCGCTGCTCCTCCCCCACCCCCCACTCCCAACCCAGCGGCCAAGCTCCTGCCCAGGTTCTGCCCTTTGGCTCTGCTAGGAACTCTTTCTCTCACATATCCACAGTACTAGCTCCCTTACTTCCTTCAGACCTTTCTCAAATGCCACCTCACTGGGAAAGGCTTTTAATACCCAGCAGCTCTGTGCTCCCTCTTCTCCCCACAATGTGCCTGCATCGCATCTGCCAGCACTGAGAGCAGCAACATCAGGCCGCCTTCCCTTACAAGAAAGAAAAGTCCTCAAGGGCAAGACTTTGTTTGCTGATACCCCAGTGTCTAGAAAAATAGCTGGTACAGGAGAGGAACTCAATACCTGTTCAATAAAGTGCCTTTGTGATGGGAAATGACTTACTGCTGTACTTGTATCCACACCGCTTTGTAGTTCCCCTCACAACATGAGTGAATGAGGAACACCAACAAAGCATGCAAAGACAGAAAATGACCATCTCCTTCAAGATGATTCGCAGTTTGGGGCAATGCCTCCTAACCTCTGCTCCAGGTAAACATGGGTCTAAAACTCAATCCTTACTGATGTGATGTCCCTCGGAAAATCAGAGGCTTGCTTCCACAAACAGAACAGGCCCTAAGGGTCAAGCCCTTTATTAGATCAACTTATAAAACTGTAAAACAAACTATCCCAATTTCCCACGTCCTGGAGTGGGAAATCCTTAAGAAAATCCTCAGAGATTGGCCAGGACTGCTGTGAGCTACAATTATGACTGCTGTGTAAACTCTAGGAGGACTGTCAAACCGACACCTTCCAGCAGAAGTCCCAGGAACACATTTGCTGGCCTCACTGCAGCATTTTTCTGTCTTGCTGAACAATGTCCTTCAGAAGCTTTCCCCTAGGAAATTCTCCAGTGAAATCAAACCACAGAGCTCGGTGCAGCAACATTCCTGCGGGCCTTGTTCTGGAGTGAAATGCTGAGATTTCCTGTGGGGCTCAGCACCGCCAGGGAAAGGGCATTGCTGCAGTTATTGCTCATCAGCCTGACGTTCTCTCTGGGAGTCAGGCTGAGGGGCCAGTGTTCCCTTTATGACCTCCCATGAAGGAAAGAGGCTCAAGTCTCTA